AATATATAAACATATTATTATATTATTGCCCTCACATCAGGAGGGCATTGCTTTGAAGAGAAATAGGTTTTCTCCATATAGTTGGGTTAAAAATTAACAAAATCCCTCAATTAATAGTCAATATCCAGTGAATTTCAGAAAAATATTCCTCATTACTTTTCAGATAGTGACCAGCAACAGTCTACAAAGTAGGTGAGTTAAAATAGTAAAAGATCACTAACATTGGTAGAAATGTACATGTGACCTTGCAAAAAAACCCAAGAGCTTCTGTAGATTGACCCTCAATTTTGCAGTGCCTGCAGCATTAACCAAAAGATATCAAGGAAAAAGTGAAGAAAGAAGAGAGAAAAAAAATTGCAGTCTTTGACCATTATAAATCCAATAATGCCAAAGAAAAAATTCATGGTAACAACATGAGGGGGATTGATGTGGTGGTGTCAGGGTGCTTTTTTGGGTACTAAGGTGAGGGTTGCCTCTTCCAGGCACAGTCAGAATCCTTCTGCCTCTTGTTTTGTCATCCTAGAAGTGAATTAACTGAAGGAAATGCTTGGTCTGAACAAACAAGATTTGCAAAGAGGAGAATGTGACCACCAGAGAAACCTGGTACATGGAAAAAATACTTCTTTAGGAACTAGCAGATCCCTGATTCAGAAACAACAGTTGTGTGGCAAGTTTTCTTGCAAATGGAATAATTTTCTTTTAAAACAGGGGGAAATTGTGTGTGATTCATGATGTACTGGGAGTGTTACACTGTTTATTTTGTAGAGTTTTTTGTGTCCATTTATTGTTCTCAAGGGTGTCTGGTACCTCAGAGTGAGAGTGAAGACAAATCAAGAGTGGAGGGTTGTGTACATGCAATTAATACCCCCAAACAGCCCAAGTTAATTTTAATTAATGTTTGAATTGAAGCTACATAGTAACCAATGTAAAACCTGGAACTTTACCAGCATTATGAGGATACTGAATGGCTACTCTTCTTTAACACACTGTAATTCTTCACCATTTTTTAGGAAGCAAAAGCAGGAACCTGGCTTGTTCCAGGCTGGATTCCAACAGAAGAACACATCAGCCTTTGGGAAACATCCCTGCCTCCAAAAAGGATCCATGGCCTGGACACAGGACACTGAAAGGGGGAGAATGAAGCAGCATTTAATCAATTCACCAGGGTACCTGTCCATGAACCACCTGCATCCTTTAAAACATGCGACTAAAATGATTTTTTTATAATTGAGGTTGAATTTTACTGGGCTATAATTAAATTTGGTAAATACACCCTACCAACACAGATGTAACTCCTTGAGCCTGACAGAAGTCATTTTACAAGATTAGGTCCTGCAGAAGAAAAATCCCTTTGGATCCCAGCCAGAAAATATTTGGTCAGAAGCGAACTGATCCTTGCCTTGCCCGTTCGCAGATTATTTCCTGAGCCCAGGGCTTCCTCGTTCTCCTGACGTAAACTTCCTCAGGGCAAAGGCAGGGAAACATTTTCCAGGGAAAAGGCGTCCGGAGTCATTCCATAAACAAAGGCGTAAATAGGGACTGCAAATGCAGGGAGCCACCTCCTGGCAGCACCGGGAAGGGCCAAACCTCGGCTCTCCTGGCAAAAACTCTTTAAATATACAAAATATACAGAGTTACACGAGTGTCACAAACACCATCTCCTCTGGACAGCTCTGGCAGGAGAGAATGGGTACTGTGCTGCTCTTCTCAGGCTGCCCAGTACCCAAATTTTCCTGGAGAAACCAGGAGATTGAAGGAGGGAAAATTTTCCAAAATTTTCCAAATTCCTGCAGCCTTCACTACATCCCTGACATCCCTGTTATTTCCTTTGCACAACTGTACCAGCCTTTCCAGAGCCTGCTTTACATGGTGGTGTTTGATGGCACCTTCACTTCTGCTTAACTGTCTCCTGTCACATTTATTTAGGATTTCTTCACTTCAAAAGGTGGGTTCAAGAAATTAAATATTCTCAGAGAAAGGCTCAAAATCTTCCCAAGTGAGCTTCCATTAATTCCTTCCATTAATTCCTGCTCATGTTTATCATTTTTGTAGTTGATGTTTCCACCCCGAGCACAGCTCTCAACCTTTCCCAGTTCAGCACCCTATAAATGGCATTACTGTGTTTTATTTCCCTTTGCACAATCAGGATCTTACATTGAGGGTAGCCTGGGCACAGACTCATCCTGCTGAAGCCTCCTCCTCCTCCTTACCCTGCTCCTGGGACAAAGGAAATCTGGATTGGGAGGGACTGAGTGGTCCCAGCAGAAGTTTGCTGGTTAATTTTGGGGGAACCACATCAGAGCAATCCAGCTCCTGCTGCCCCTTTCACCCTCACGGTGCTTGAAAGGATGCACAAACTCTCACAGTCTGAATTGCCATGTTTTCCCCTTTTCCTGTGCCAGAGTCTCTTTTTATCTGAGCAGCTACTCCCACAAAAACTGGAGTTATTTAACATCTCTGAGGCTCTGCAAACTTGAATTCAGAGCAGTTTCAAAACTTCCCAGAGGGAAACAGACCACAGATGGTTTACTTCCCTAGGAAATGAAGCTAAAAATAAATGAGGAAAATTCCCTTCTCTCCAGCTACTTGACCCAAGGTCTGCTCTCCACAGGCAACAATGTTTGGGAAAGCACATTTGGCCAAATGTTTAATGAGCTTTTCTAAATATGTTGCAGATTACTGATGATGGAAGAGTGGCAAGAGCAGAAGCTTCATTCCCCACTGCCCAGTGTTCTCTTACCATTCTGCAGTGTTTGGAGGATAAATGTTGTGTATTTCCATAAATCAGAGTATCACCTCTAATTTTTAACTTTGCCATTGCCAACAAGGTGTTACCCTCCTTGTTCACCTATTAAAAAATAGAGACAAATTATATTTTCCAGGAAAAAAGAGATTTTCAAAATCTTCTTATGGCATTCAAATGGGGCTCAGAGATGGTTTTATGCCATTAAAATGTTGAAAGTGTAAACTCTGTGACATTTGTTATAAGTTTGTTGAATTCAGTTCTCTCCCACTCCCTCTGCAAACCTTTTCTACAGAAACAGGAATTGTTGGATGTGAAGAAAACTCTCTCTTTTACAGACAATTGTTTATGGTTGCCTGAGTGATTATTTGGCAATCAAAGCTTTGTTTTGTGTGGCAAAAAAAGCAGAAAATAAACACCTTCCCTCTCATTCCCTGCCTGCCCAGGGATTTACAGGGTATGTCCAGGTGTGGCCCATCAATTCAGGGCATGGTTATTAAATTTGAGAGCAGGAAGGTGCAGGAAGGGGAAGAGCCATTTCCTTTGATCAGCTGGATAATTCCTTGCACATTTAGGCAGATCCAAGCCCTGTCAGCTCCTCAGCTCTCCACCTTGCAGCCCCTACACAGACAGACAAGAACATCCATCTCTGTCTCAGGGAATAAAAGCAAAGATAAAACTTTAAACAACTATAATTCCTAGAACAGATCATGAAATTCCGGAGGCAGCAGGCCTCTTTCTTTCTGCACTGTCACAGTTTTATGAGTTTATGCAAACAGCAACAGGGTTTTTATTTTTAAATCTTTTTTTCTTTATCTGGGGAGCAAAGGGCAAGCAGGGAGATGAAAGGCAGGGAAGGATTAGAAAGGTGATCTGCTACATCCCCACCCCAGGCCAACAGCAGACTTTTGGAACAAGATGTAGTCTGCACATTAAAACCTACAATCCTCTTTACTGCTCAACCCTCCTATGTGAAATATATCCATGAGGCTGCAGGGAAAAAAAAAAAAAACAAAACACCACAAAATACACAAAGCATCTATTGTTGGCAGCTCACTGCAGCTAAATGTTGGCTCATGTGCTGATTATAAAAAATTAAGCTCAGCCTGATCGTCTCTGACCAGCAGAAGGCAGTAAAATCACAAAATGGAAAAAAAAAAACCCACATGACTTTGCTTCATGGGCCCAAAATTGGGCTGGTGAGCACCAGGGAAAGCAGGAATATTAGGATCTTGGTAGAGCAATAATGCCAGTTCCAGACAGCTGAGAAATTCAGCTCAATCCTCCACAAATCCCGCACTTTTTTTTTTTTTTTAAGCTCGGCTCCCAATACAGCCAATGAGTATTTTTAAGCAGCTTAAGACAAACAGATTAATGAAGAACCTACTTTACAAAACACTTTAAAAATACCTAAAAAACCCCTCAGGAGAGTGAGAGAAGATGCAGTGGTTTTGATGGGACTTTCAGAGAGGAAATAAAGGAGAGAATTGAATCCAAGCACACTCGGCTGGGTATTTAGGCTGGAAATTGAAATCCTTCAGGGAGTTTGGAGATATGGCAAGCATTTTGCTGTGCAGGAATCAAAGGACACGGAATTAAAAAACAAAAGTAAAAACAAAACTAACAAAAAGCCCACAAAAACAAAAAAAAAACAAAACCACCTAAACCAAAAGAAGGAAACCACACATGCACCAAAAAAAAAAAAAAAAACCCAAACCAAACCTAAAGAAAACCACAAAAAAAAAAATCAAAACAAAACCAGGCCCCTCCTAAAAAAACCCGAGCAAAGAGAGAAGCGCTGTTAAAGGACAGCGGCAAAGCCCGTGAAGGGACTGGGAT